TTTTAATTAAAGACTAATATTATTTAAATTTAAATTTAATAAACTATTATAAAAAATATAAAATAAAATTTGATTAAAACTAAAATTTAATAATAACTAAAAAAATTCTTAATAATAGCTAAAAAATTGGCCAAATTGGTCAAATTGGTCTATTTACCAACCCTGTTAACAATGTAACCCAAGAAAGTAATACGTCCTTACCAACAGCAATAGTAGCAAAAACCGGATCATTCCGCTAGTAGTAAATTGTGAGATTATAATCAAACAGGTGAGGAATTAAATCGCAACATTTACTAGCAGAATGACGGTATTGTAAAATAATTTTTTTATGTGCTGTGCATACCAGGTGTGGGATTAGTTGTGTAACATCGACGGTTCCTCCAGTTCGTAATTGCATGAATGCCTCTTATAAGTTTTTCCATTACAGCCAAATACGTCATTCTAAATAATGTAACATTGCGTGTTGACAATGACAGGCATAAAATTATCGGATTATTTAATGGGACAAATATCCTATTTAAGGTTTTCAGAAAACTATGTAGGAAAAATGTTGACCACATTAAAAACCTAGGATAAATTACTGCTTATCGCAACAGTTTTAAAAGGTAGATGTTGTGAACTCATTTAGATTAATTCATTAATTAATTTTTATAATAGTTAAGCATATAAGCCGAGTTGAGCCTACTAAAAGCGATTTTTATTTATTTGTGATATTTGTAACTTCAAAGAAAACTTCAGTAACACATTACCTTTGTGAATTTTGATTTTTATCTTTGTAACATGGCTGGCATCCTAGTTTAATAACAATTGGTGGATATTAATTTTAATTGTTTGGAGCACAACGCGTGTTACTGTTATGTAACGTGGCAATTTTAGAATATTGTTTATTGATGAATCATCTGTTTTTTATGTATTCGTGACAACTATTTATTGTCCTCGCGTGAACCCATCAAAATTGCAAAAATTGTCTTTATACAAACACTTTTTAAATTGATTAGTGGCAGTGAAACAAAATTAACTACCCCAACAACACCCCGAAAATTCTGCGATAATAAAACTTTTAAAAGGTTGTTAATACTTGGGTTAGCGATTATATTAGTGTTTGTTATTTATGTAATATATAGTAAAATCGCCCAAGGAAAACTTTTTGTTAGAACACGAAAGATGGTTTCATATGTAGATTTTTGAGTTATGGGCGATTATTGGCAAAAAAGAACGGTTGTTTTTAATTTTCGGATTGTGTTACGTTACACCTGATCTTCAACTGTGATTGGCTTGTGGTCACGTTTTGCAGAAATTTTCGGGGTGTTGTTGGGTAGTTAACAAAATTTCATACTCACGTGACTAATTCTTTAAATTGCAAGATTATATAAACAATTATGTAATTCAATAAATTTCGTTTAATACGAAATCTTAAGAAGCTAGGCTTTTTTTGTCTTTATAAAAAATTTTTGATATATATGCATTTATTTATCCATTTGCCTAACAATTGTGAAATGCTTTCATATAATGTAGGCCATAGTACTAGTACCCTTTCAATTAAAGCACCCTCTATTAAAAATTCTCATGTGCAATGTAAAATACCAGAGGGTGTATCCTGTATAAATAGATTTTTCACATGAATAATTGCTAGTTTAGCACCTTTGGAACTATAAAATTTTATAATACGACCCACGCTGTGAAAAATTTTGCAGATTAATCACATCATTTCGAAAGATTTAGTAGGTCATGTGAGAATAGTAGCAAAAAAACTGAAACTACAAAAAAAGGATACTTCCTTACTTTGAAGAGACATACAAGTACCTACAGCAGAGACCGTTAATGTTAAACATGTACTATAACTGGTGAGGGATTATATCCATCACAATTGAATCCAACATAAATAATTTAATTTGTGATTGATCACAGGCGAGAGGGATTCACTTTGGATCGGGCACTGTCTCTGCTGTAACAAATACCATGCAATAATTTAAACATAACATTTTAATAATAATTTTATTTTATCTCTTGTAGTAATAAATTTGGAATAATCTTTATAATTTATTTATGATACTATATAGAACAAGAGGCGTAATTGTGTAACTTAAAATTTGGTGTTACCATTACCATTACGCATTGCATTATTTACGTATTCTGCCATAAATAAGTACTACCTATTTTTGTAAATGACAGATTTTAAATATCAGATTAGCGGGAATAACTTTCCTAAGATCTTATCGTAATTTCCGCTAATCTGACTTTTAAAAAAAGGGGTAGAGGGGACAGTGCTTATTTACAGTAGAGTACAGTACTCAATTAATATATGCCCATTATGTGAATACGTCTCTTTTTGTTAATACGTAGCAGTAAGCCATTTAGTAATTATTAGTAAGTTAGATAGACTTATACATCGGATATAACTTCTTATTCTTCTGTTCTTTATGGTAAATTCTTTTATTGACTATATTAGAGTATTATGTAGATAGTTGTCTATACATTATAAATAATACATATTTGAGGTTATTTCGGGTTCAAAAGTTTCTGTACATGTCTCTTGAAGTGACCTTATATAGAGCTTACGTATGCAAAAGATATATATTTGTTTATGAATATTTATCATGGTTCTATAAGGCCATTTAAAATGAGGGGACGTGTAGTAACTTTCGAAACACTCAGTACCATAATGGGCAGTGTAAGTGATATATGAAAAAGAATTTCTAAAGAATTGATGGATGCAGAAATGAGCAAACAATATATGAAGGAATTAGAGGGGACTTAACGTTACAAATAGGGTAGGAACGGCCCGACCCGAGTGCCTAAACGGTTTTTTTTAGAAGTTAATTTGGGCCACGTCCAAGTGTTGTTCACATGATAATTTATTATGTGACCAACACTTTGGGACGTGGCCCAAATTAACTTCCAAAAAAAATAAACCCCCGTACAGGCCCACGGACTGGCCCGTTCCCCATCCTAGTTACAAGATTAATGATTTGCATATCGATATCTGGTATTACAAAAGATTTTACCAGTATTTAAGCTTAATAATTGTATGCATGTTCTTGAATAAGATTAAAAGATTTATAGCTTGATAAATAGTGTATATTATGTATTATATAAAATTCATGCATTTAATGATAAGCCACTTTTATTAATCACTTTGCTACTTTTTCAACGTCATTACGGAGCAAATTTCGTGTAACAGATTATCAAAAAAGGCAAATTAACCTATTCTTGCAAAGTAATTAGTGAGGGGCACAATATTTGAGGGGATATAAGTCAGAAATTTTAAGGGTGATATTATAACATATTCAATTTAACTTATGAGGTGATATTGACCCTGGTAATTCTTGCCCTTTTAACGCACTGGTCAGAGTGACCTTTACTATATGTAACATTCTTTAAATGGACCCCGAATTAGAACCGCTAAAGACGTTTAAATATAAATACCAGAGTTTTTCACCTTTTTCCAAATTTTATTTTCAAAAAAATCTCTACAATTATGAACCAATTCACAAATACAAATATCATTGGTCGATTCCAAAGGCCAAATAGACCTCATAATCGGTTCCAAACAATCCTAAGACGGCCCCGAAGGGCTCAACCTCAGAACTCTATGAATCCATCTATTTTAAACATTGGAAGGCGCATCCGACCTCAACCTCAAAACAATATGAATCCGCCCATTAACGTTACTGCTGCCATTCAACGGTATACCGTTTTGGTCGAAGGCTCGAATCCATTTATCGGGTTACAAGTTACAGAAACTCCACCGCAGAACAGTCAATTTCAAACAGAATTATTTTTGGGTCTTCCATTCTAATAAGTAAATATATGCATAAATTATGTCATTAAATATAAAGAAGCTTTTTAAAATAAATATTATTTATAGGATCTGGTGGTGTTTAAATACGGTTCAGGATCTATAAATGCACACGAATAAGATTATACACTGAAAATTTTCATTTCATTGACCTAAGCAAATTAAATTGTAGGTCGCCTAAGATTTTTTATGCGAGATAATATGCTTCATTTGACTTTCAATAAATTTAATATTTTCTAAGATAAAAATTAAATAAAGACCTTTTTACACTACTTATATTATTGTAAAAATAGTGTACCACACGAATAATATTTGTCAAATGAATAAAAAGTTAAATAGGTAAAAAGAATCGTGAAAATAAAAATTCGATAACATGCATTATAATTCGTTTTATGATGGAAATTATTAACTAGCTCTTTTTGAAATTGTTTTTGGAACTATCGAGGGCAAAATGTAGAAGAAATCCCGAAGTTAATTAGAGTCTTTTTAAAAGAATGATATTAACTCAACCAACAGGGGGAACCGTCACATCATTTGTAGATCTGTTACACAATTCATAAAAATTTTTTTTATATTGTTTTAAAGT